TCTTAAGTGTGTGAATGAATGAATAATTAACGTGACGGCAGCTTTCTTGTTTTCCATGATGTTAATTCTCAAGGCTGTGTATTTACTCACACTTTTTCACTTTTCTGAAATGCCTTTTCACTATTCTCCAAAAATTTAAATGCAATTTATTTTTTAAAATAATATATTAGAGATTAATGGAACTATTTAGATGTACGCATTTGTTCAGAAACTCTATGTGGCATTTGTATTAGGGTAGTAGGATTAATTGCTACTGTTAACATTAAACTTATTTTAAACATCTGAAGTTCTGTAATTTGCCTTATTTTGCTGCTTTTGCGACAGTAGTAGATAAGCCTATCTTGTGACCTTAAACTGTGAAGCAAAATGAAACTAGTTGTTGCATATGCACCACAAATATAGTTTCCCCTACACAACACACACATGCACTCACTCACACACACCCAAAAATTTAAAGTTCTTTAGGGGTCAGATCAAATTCCACTTCTTCTATTAAACTTTCCATGAATAATTCTATTTCAGTATTTTTTCTCAGACTCCCTTTAACATTTCTAATCTGTAAGTAAAAACTTATCTTATTCATTGTAGCCAACTATTTTTTTGTTTTACTCTTACCTTGCATTAGCGCTGGCATTTTTTTTCTTTAAATTCTTCCCTCTCCCCTCCTCCCCCAACAATCCACAACACCTGTTGCCATCAAGTGGCTTCTAACTCATAGCAATCCTATAGGGAGGTTGCTATGAGTTGGAACCTCCTCTCCAAATACCAGGAATTTAAGCAGAGATCTGAAGTGGAACCGATGGACTCACATAGAACAATGATCTTAGCTTGGGCTGTCTGGTTCAGTGGCGTGGCGGAATATCATGCACAAGCTCAGTCACTGCAAATCATCGTTTGGCTGTGGCCATTGGCTGCCATTTACAGTGTCGTAGACCATGCTGTCAGAATGAAAAAGTGGACACCACTCTTACCATGCTCACCCTCATGCTGCAAGTCTCCCTCTGCCCCAGTATTGGATACAGCGGGGATCGCCCACCAATCAGCCCAGGATAGACCAGCAGGGAGGAGCCAATTGCTCTCGTATTCTCCAACTTCAGACAGACTCACCTCCTCAGCAGACCTGTGGCTCTAGTCTGGGCCCTTGTAAAGGAATCTAGCTCTGGTAGTAGCAGCTGGAGAGGGCAGTGGGACCTCCTGCTAAATGGACAAAGATGGGTGAATGAATGAGTGAGTTGCAGAGATCACTTGCAAACAAATCAGGAGTAATAAGGAAACAGCTCATTCAGGCAGATGCTCTTACCACCTAACTCCCAATCTTGCCTAGTGCAGAGAAGCCATCTCCCCTGGGAGAGAAGTCAATGGAATGTGAGGCTATATTCTCACTACTGAGTCTTCCCAGGAGCCAGGGCTCCTGGTTCTTCATTCTCTAAACTACCCTCCCCTCTCCTTCAGCTCTCACTCTTTGTACTTCTTGTGCTTTTTCTTCTTCTTTGCTGCCTTGCTGTCTTTGGATGTATGCCTCACCCTTTTGACTGTATCACTCTCAGAGTCTAGACTGTCAGAGTCAGATGACTTTCTGCCCTTATGTTTCTTTTCTTTTTTTTTCCTCTCTTTTTATAGAAGAATTCCCTGTGTGGTCAGGCTTATTAAACTGTGCTGATTTGCCTCTTCCTTCTCCTCTGGCTCATCAGCTATCAAAGAGTACTTGGTCCCTCCTGGTTGCATGAAACAATCCTTTGCAGAGTGACCTTTACAAGCACATGTTTTGCAGTAGTGCCAGGACAGCTTCGAGGGTCATCTTCTGCTTAGTGAAATCTTGGAAAGATCTCCTCCACCTCTTTTCTTGCACAATAATAATGTTGTTGGATTGAGGCCTTCCCCAGTCCCTCAGTTGACAATTTGAATGTAGAGTGATACTTTTATACTATCATTTTCTTCTCTTTCCCAATAAATTTCTCCCACACTTTGTCTCTGACATCTGTTATCTCAGAGGGCTTATCTATCCAACGGAATGACATGGAAGTTGGATAGACTAGACCTTGCTTCTGACAGCCTGGGATTTTGATAATGGCTTCATAGTCTGTCACCATAGCAACTTCTCCTTGGAAAATAATGTAGAGCAGGCAAGTTTTCCATGGCCTTGGATCTTCCTGAATTCTCCTTAATGTCCTATGGCTCTTCCATCTCTCTTCTGCTAAAGCTAATTCAAGTTCTCAGTGTTGGCTCACGATTCCCAGTTGGGTCATTATGCAAAACTCCACATTTAACTTCATTTTTAAACTTTCACAGTCTCTGGTAAACAGTAGGCAATTAATCAATACTTAGTGATTTCTTTTTTCTTTGTTGTTGTTGTTGTTGTCGATGATGAGGGTCCTAGCCAGATACTGGCAAGCTAGGATAATTTCCTATAGTGACACAGATCTTTTTATAAAATATTAAAATACTCTTTATAGTTCTGTTAAATTGAGTTTGCCTCTGGCTAGAATTTTCTTTTTCCTCCTCAGTTTAAGGTATCTCTCTTTTGGGCTTTGTGTTTTCTGACAGGATTTTTTTTTTTTTTTAATATCTTTCTGCATATAAGCCTTTTTTCTTAATTACATAGTATCGTTTTCCCCAATACTGCAAGAAGATGAATCTTTTGCTAGTGACATAACTGTACTAAATTTAAACACTGCTTATTAAAATTCTACTTACTAAACAAAGGTTTGCTTTTGTTTTGGTATAGAAGCATCCAGCAACATATCATATATAACTTAATATATCATATATAACTCAATATATCATATCTAACTTAAACATGGAAGTGTCCCCCTTGAAATTTACCTTAGATTCCATTTTTAAGATTACTTAGCCATTTATTTTGTATCATTTAAGTTAAGCAAAGACATTTACTAAATTTTAATATTGATAAATACATATTTAGTATTGCTAAATATTAAAAATTAGAATTCAAATAAACATCATTTTAAGCTCACTTTATACCGTGGTTTTAGATTAGATGTTTGAGTAACAGGTACTGGAGCAGGCAATCACTGTTTGAAGAGTTGAATATTATTTTATCTTCAGCATGGAAATCACATCTTCAATTGGTACTTGTTATAAATGAAAGTGTTGACTGGTCAAGTAGTAGTAAAATTATACAGTTTATAATTTCTCCCATTAATTCCAATGTCAAATAATTTTAATGTGCATTTTAAAATTACATGAGTAACAGGTTTGGACATCTGCTTAAAAGTAAATTAAAATTTTTATTTTTGAATCGGCATGTGATTTTCCCTTATTCTGTAAATTCAGGCCATTTGTCTGAAATCTTGTTGTTGTTTTTTAGTGGACTTAAAATGAACAATGTATATACTATTTTCTTACTCTTAAGAATTTAAACCACAATGTCTAGTTCTAATTTCCTTAATTCATCTTGAATGAGGAACTTAATTTGAGAAGGAATATGGCATAAGTTTGTGCCATATTTCTCACTTAATTTAGTGTAAGTTTAAACTTCTAACCTGTGGCCTTGTGGTGCCTGGAGCAGTCCTCTATGGTTCAGAATGAGATTTGGTTCAGTTATTGCTATATAGTCTTCTTTGAGGGAACACAGGCCATTGCTGTGAAGCTCTTAGTGTAAAAGAGGAATGAATAAATTAGATGTATAGCCAATAGACTATAAAAAATAAGCTATTAGAAAATAAACCTTACTTTGTATAGTTGAATGACTAATTAATTGAATTATTGATTAAACATGTTGACTCACTGAGTAAATAATGATGAACAAAAACATTTCTTTAAAGCAAGATTTAAAGTAACACACACTTATATGTCCCAGTTAACTATTCTTTTCTTGGCATATTTATTCTCCATTTCCATTTCTTTAAATCCAGGATTAGTCTCTGCTCAGCTGGAAATTAAAACTTGCTCAGAAATAACACACTGTTTATCGCTGGCTCAAAACAGGAGGCTCCAGGAGTGAGCTCAGAATTAGAGCAATTTAAGGTTTGCAGTATTTAATCTCTGTAATGATGCTCCTTAGGTCCCAACTATCTAGGGGCTATTTAGCCCTTGTTACCGCTTGCAACTGCTTTTTTTATTTTACTCTTCCCTCCATGAAGGCAGGAGGCCAGGAGGACTAATAGCCACCAGCGTTTTTGTTAACAAAACCCAAGCTGTTTCCTTAAAGGAGGTTTCTTAAAATAAAAATAACAGAAAAGTACTTTCTACTATACTTTGTTTCTAACATAACAGATTGGCTTTTAATAGAGCAAATACTAACATCTCAATAATGCACAGAAGTCTTGTGATTTTGTCTGCTTTTACTACTTCATGGTAACAGGTTATTAATACATATTATTATCTACTTTGTATTTATTATTCTAAATTCACATATGCATCCACAGATATTATAGTTTGGTGTCAATAGTGCTTTCACTACTTGTGGTCTCCTGAATCTCTTTCAGAAAATAAATGTGTGTGTGTGTGTGTGTGTGGGTGTGTGCATGTTGAGAAAGAGAGAAAGGGAGGGAGGGAGAGAGGATAAGCTGTTCAAATGGTACTAGAGATAAATGGTATAAATACTAAAATAGTGCTGGAATCCTGAAATTTAGTTAGCATTCTTACATTGAATTTATCTTAAAAAATTACTTTGTGACTTGAATTGTAGTATTGATATTGTAGAACACACCAAGAAGCCTTCATCTCAGTCACTTTCATTATATGCCCACTGTCCAAATTTGCTTTAACCACTGTTAAAGCAGAGTCAACTGTGTTTTATCTGTTTAGAGCTCATTGTAGTTCATTGATTTCGTTTCATGTTGTGGTCAAATCAACCATTTACATTTTAAAGTTAACTTAAGAGGCATTTTATTTACTGGGTTCTCTTCAGAGTTGAGCCTCACCGTGTAAGACTGATGAGCTTCATCAAAAGTGACACATATTCTGTTCCTGTTGTCACACACATTCTGTCATAACCATGAATCACCTATGATATTGCTCCATCTACTGTATTGCAGGAAAAACAGAGGTTTCTGACGGATGTTCTACATGAAGTGATGCTGCTTGACGGCTTGGCCAGTTCCCATCCAGTATCACAGGAAGTGCTACAGGCAACAGATATTGACAGAGTGTTTGACTGGATCGCATATAAAAAGGTGAGAATAGATAAGACCCAAGTGCCAATTGGGTATTTCACTATCCAGGGCCACCAAACTGTTTCATGCTAAATGTATTATATTCGTCTCCTCTTCCTGGCAGATAGAAATGGACTATGAGTTAGAAAATATAAAAAGTCACTAGGTTCATGTCATTTGTATGAGTTAGGACTTTGCTTTATAAATTAGTAAAACGGAGATGACTGTTTGCCAAATAACGCATAGAAATATTGGAAGTACTAATGAATGTTTGGAGACTCACTGTGAAGTTACTATACTAATGGTGTTATGTAAGTGTCACTTTTATTATTAATAATAACAGAACTGACTAGTATAGTGACAATTATTTTTCATTAGTGCCCCTTACATACTTATTTATTTTGATTGGCCAATGCAAATGGGTATAGGCAGTGACATAATATGTGTATTTTATAAACAATTTTTATGGAGACATTTTGAGAATTAAGCATCTTTCCTGGAAATAAGTATTAAAAACAAACAAAAAACAAACCCACTGTTATTGAGTGCATTTCAACTCATAGAGACCTTATAGGACAGAGTAGAACTGCCCCATAGGGTTTCCAAGGAGGGGCTGGCTGGCGGATTTGAACTGCCGACCTTATGATTAGCAGCCAAGCTCTTTACCACTGCACCACCAGGGCTCCTGGAAATAAGTATAATAAAAAAAAATTTAAAGATGAGACTTTGAATGGCAAATAAAAATTTGGACCATTAATTGAGGAGCCCTGGTGGCACAGTGGTTAAGCGCTCGGCTGCTAACTGAAAGGTCAGCTGTCCGAATGCACCAGCCTGTTCTGCAGAGAAAGATGTGGCAATCTGCTTCTGTAAAGATTTACAGCCTTGGAAACCCTATGGGGCCATTCTACTCTGTCCTATAGGGTCGCTAGGAGTCCGAATTGACTCTGCAACAGTGGGCTTGGTTTTTGGTTTGGGACCAATAACTAGACATAGAAATAGGATATCTTACACAAACTTTTTTCCATTGTTACTTGGATTAGGACCAGAATTTTTTCTTATACCTCTATCCCTCAGTTCTATTTTTAACATGAGAATGTGCACCTCAGTGTTTAACACTTAGTAACTACTTAATTATTAAAATAGGTTTAACATCTGCTGTCATCAATTTTAAGATAACACTAAATGCGTTCATTGGGATTGGTGTGTACTTTGTTGATTTAATTTTTTTTCATTTTTAACATTACTAATATTATTTTTTCTATAAAAAGACATCCTTATTTAATAAAAAGTGTTTAAATAATGATTCATCAGAAGTCCTTCGTGTGGTAATTTGGATATTTGGTTTTTGCTCTCAGATAGTGACTATCTCAATGACCAGTAGTTAATATTTTATGTTATAGATATAAATTATGTTAATAGAAAACCTCTTTGTAAACTAGTGATCATTGCCTTGGCTGAAATGGTATGTGGCTTGATGTTTTATAAAAATAATGGAAGTTTAGAACCATGGCATATTTAAAATATGTATTACATTTTATGTATACATTTTTTGACTGAGGTTTGTTGTATAGATGAGTTCATTCGAAAGGATCAATTCTTTAAATGTGACACAAAAATAATTTATTAAGATAGTTTGAAATGAATCTGGAGGCATGTTTCTAGTTATTCCTCAATTCTAAAAGACAATTTGTAAATACTTACTCTACTTCAGCATGAATGAAATCAGAAAATGCTCTTTTGATTTAAAATGTTGTGAGTGTGTTTTCACAGATAAATAACATCTATTCCATATTCCATAAATTAGAGCAGTTTTGAATTTATTCAAGAAGCTTAAGAATCTGCACTTAGGTGCGGATGCTAGCCAATTTACAAATGTGAAAAATGAGTATAGTATGCTACCATTCTCAGCACCTTCACCCACCATGGTTACTGACTTACTTGTCTCTAATCATTTCTCTTTATGCTTAAAATAACATTAGAAATATTGTCCTTACTGTGTTTTCAAGTGATGATAGGATCCATCCATTTCCAGTGAAGACTTCTTAGGAACACCTTTTCTTCTCCCTCCCTCCCTTCCTTCCTCAGCTATACTGAAGTAGAAATACAATGAATTGCACATATTTGAAAGGAAGAATTTGGTATGTTCTGATATATGTAGACATCCATAAATACATCGCCACAATCAAGTTAATGAACATATCCATCACCCTGAAAAGTTATCTTATGCCCCTTTGTAATCCCTTTGCCCAGTCTCTCCTCCCTTTTTCACTGATCTCCTTTCTGTCACTATACATTAGTTTGCATTTTCTAAAGTTTTATATAAATGGAATCATATAGTATGGACTCCTCTTGACTGCCTTATTTCTCTCAACATGACTATTTTGAGATACATGCACATTTTACAGTATATGGACATATCACAGTTGGTTCATCCATTCACCTTTGTTTGACATTTGGGTTGTTTCCAGTTTCTGGCTTTTACCAATAAACATTGGTAACTGCTGTGATATGTGCATATGACTTTTTTCCCCTGTGTCTTAGATCGTTTAGTGCTGCTATAACAGAAAAACCACAAGTGGATGGCTTTAACAAACAGAGATTTATTCTCTTACGGTCTAATAGGCTAGAAGTCCGAATTCAGGGCACCAGCTCCAGGGGAAGGCTTCCTCTCTCTGTCTGCTCTGGGGGAAGATCCTTGTCATCAGTCTTCCCCTAGGTCTAGGAGTTTCTCAGCTCAGGGACCCCAGGTCCAAAGGACGTGCTCTGCTCCCGACTCTTCTTTCTTGGTGACATGAGGTCCCTGCACTGAGAAACTCCTAGACCCTGGGGAAGATTGATGACAAGGAACTTCCCCCAGAGCCAACAGAGAGAAGCCTTCCCACAGAGCTGACACCCTGAATGTGGACTTCTAGCTTCCTAGACCGTGAGAGAATAATCTCTGTTTGTTAAAGCCATCCACTTGTGGTATTTCTGTTATAACAGCACTAGATAACTAAGATAGAATTTGGTACCAGGAGATGTATTCATTTGCTCAAGCAATGAAACCACATCTGGAATAGAAGTTGCAATTGGAGCCACCACCTTGTTAAGTTTTTGATAATCCATAAGACTTTGGGTAAATATCCAAAAGCGGATGTCCACATTATATGATAAGCATGTTTAATATTTTAAGAAACTGTAAAACTGTTTTCCAAAGGACTGTAACATACATTCCTATCAACAGTATATCAGAGTTCTAGCTTTTCCCATATCTTCACCAACACTAGGTGTAATTAGGGCATTAATTTTAAATATTGTAGACCTGGGTTTGATTTGTGGTCAATGTACCTCATATGTAACCACCACCCATCTGTCAGTGGAGGCTTGAGTTTTGCTGTGATGCTGAACAGGTTTCAGCAGAGCTTCCAGACTAATACAATTAGGAAAAAAAAGGCCTGGTGATCTACTGAAGATCAGTGGAGCACAAAAACCCATGGATCACAATGATCCAATCCACAACTGGGCAGCATTTCATTTCCTTCATTGTGCAGGGGGTTGCCATGAGTCAGAGGCCCACTTGATGGCAGCTAACAGCAATAACAATAGGTATGTAATGGTATCTCATTGTGTTTCTAATTTGTATTTCCCTAATGACCAATAATGTTGACCATCTTGTAATTTGCATATTTTCTCTGTGTATGTCTTCCTTGGTGAAGGGTTTAAATCTTTTAACTTTTTTTTCAAATTTGAGTAGTTTGTTTTATTATTGAGTTTTGAGGTTCCTTATATATTCTGACTACAGGACTTTTATCAGATACATGATTTGCTAATTTTATTTCCCCCTATTTGTGGCTTGCCTTTCTTTTTCTTAACAGCATCTTTCTGAAGAAAAGAAGATTTTAAATTAGATGAAGTCCATTTTATTATGTTTTTCTTATATGGATAGTGTGCTATTGGTGTCATATCTAAGAAGTTATTGCCTAATTCAAGGTCATGGATCTTTTCAAAGTTTTATAGTTTTAGGTTTTATATTTAAGTCTGTGATCCATTTTGAGTTAATTTTTATATAAACTGTGAGGTATGAATCAAATTTCTTTTGCCTTTTTTCTTCCTTTCTTCTTACTTTTTTTGCATATGCATATCTAATTGTTCAAGTGCCATTTATTGAAAAGTCTGTTCTTTCTCTGCTTAACTGCCTTTGCGTGTGTGTTGAACAACGGTAGTCCACGTATGTGTGGATCTATTTCTGGACTATTGATTCTGTTCTATTGATGTATTTATCTATCTTGGCGCTAATCACACAGTCATGATTCCTGTAGTTTTATAGTAAGTTTTGAAATAAGGTAGTGTTAGTCCTCCAACTTTGTTCTTTTTTCCAAAGTTCTTATGGGTATCTTTGTTCATTTGCAATTCTGTATGGATTTTAGAATGAGTTTGTCAGTTTCGACAAAAATCCTGATAGGATTTTGATCAGAATAGCATTGAATTTATTGATTAATTTGAGAAAATTGATATCTTAACAATATTGACTCTTCTGACTGATGAATACCCTCTGTCCCTCCATTCACTTAGTTCCTCTTTATAAGTATTTAATATTTCTATTGTAAATGGTCTTGTTGCTTTTAGAATTTTTATTTCTGATTTTGCTTTGCTATACCTAGAAATATAGTGGAAATTTGTGGATTTATTTTGTATCCTGTAATCATATTAAACAACATTAGTTCTAGTAGCTGTTTTGTAGATTCCATCAGTTTTTCTACATAGATGATACCATCAACGTCTAATAAAGACATTTTTATTTTTCTTTTCCAATCTGGATTCTTTTTATTATTTTGTTTCCTTTCCTTATTACATTTGTTAAAAGCTCCAGTACAATATTGAATAGAAATGGTGAGAACAGATATTCTTTTCTTGTTCCTGATTTTAAGGGTAACACATTCAATCTTTCACCATTAAGTATGATGTTACCTTTAAATATTTTAAGTACCCTTTATCAGGTCGAAGAAGTTGTATTCTATTCCTACATTGCTTAGAGTTTTATC